ATTTATATGTTATATATTATGTGTATTACATATTTTTATATATATTTATAACAATATCACAACTATTTTACTAAGAGACAAAATCAACAAATTAGTGCCATGGCCAAGGGTCTTTAGAGGAAATTTGCCACCTCTACCTACTAGGGCAGAAAGCTATGTCTAACTTCAAATCCTATGTCAGACACTGGACTCCTACAGGTCTTGGTATCTAGACAAAAGAGAGCCTTCCATACTCCAAAAAAGTGGTGATTTATCTGTGAGTGCACTGTGTGTGTGTGTGTGTGTGTGTGTGTGTGTGTGTGTGTGTGTGTGTGTTGGAGTGGAAAGTAGAAGAAAGATTTTATGACAAATGTCTCCCTCTCTGTGATTGGGGGAGGGAAAGTGGCTGAGGTTTGTTTTAGAAACCTAAGGTATCTTACAGATTAGTTGTAAACATTTCAAAAAACATTACCATGCATTTGCAATTTAAAAAAAAAAAACAAAACATAAATCCAGCTGAAGATAATAAATATATCTATTGGATAAAATGTCCCATCACATAAGCAAAAATACTGTCTTCTTCTAAACCTGTAAGGCCCAATTTCAAAGGTTACTTACTGTTAGGTAAGGGCTTTACAGAAGCCCATCTCCTAAAATGTCTATAGTGGCATTATATCTGTAACAACATCTCTAGAAGATGATTACAGGTCTAACCCAAAAGAAGAGCACTGCATGCTCAGGAGAAATATTTATATATGCATCTGTCTAGGGAGAAAGTTTTGGTATATAAAACTGTGAGATAAAACTGTGAGGCAGCTGAGAGCTTGAACCAACTACAGACATGTTTCAAAGACGACATAACAGCTTGTATCCCACTACTTGTTGCAGGACCAAAAACACAATAGCAGGCTTAATAAGAGTCCTGAACTGAATCAATGGAAACTATATAAGCACTAGATGATAAAAGGCATTATAATCTGTTCAATAGAAATTGCTAAAATTTGATGCAGAAACTGAATAAATTATAACTTCTAGAACAAAGGTAATTATATTTAAATTTCAAAAAGAAAGATGGCTAAGTTTAAATATTCCTGGCTGTCTCTAAATAGTGCTCTGGTTTGTCCTTGTTCATTTCCCTGATTATCTTAAACCAAATCGGACAGATCTATCATATCAAACAGTTGTCTATTATTAGCCCAAAACATCAGAAAAACTTTTATAGTATTTTATTTTTATAGACACAAGTTAAAAAGTCACTTTGAAAAAAAATAAGAGAATATAAATTAAATAAGTACTTATTAGGTACATGCTGTGTGGGAATTATCAAAAGAAAGCTCTTTAGTATATGCTAAATATTAAAATATAATAATAACTATAATCACTATGCTCTGCTGACTCTTGAAAACAAAAATGGCTCCTTTGACTAGTTATATTTTTTAAGATGAAGATTTGTCATTAGCTTAACCTATAGATTACTATATTTTCATTTTACTATTAAAGATAATGGGTAGCTATAATTGATACATTTTTAATTGGCATAAAGGTGACGTCATGTGGACATTTATCTGTAAGAGAACTAGACTATAATACAAACATTGTGAATAAAAGGAAAATTATTTTAACTATTCTATGCATTGCATGAATGCTAAATGAGAATCATAACAGAAATAGTTATACAAGGCTATTCTTTTGGGGAGGACTAAAGAATTATAAGGGGTAAATTTTACAAATTTTCAATAGCTGTGAACAAAAGAGATTTCCAAAACATTTATTCTAAAAGTTATAATGAGTGTAAGGCCTCATGATTTGTTTTAGAGATGGGAAAGTAGGATATATTTTTAAGATATTGCTGACCTCTATGATGCAATGCATTATGATTGTATAACTATACCTTTCTGATATTTGAAATGTAATTTCATTACATATATTAAGGTTGAGTCTATATATTTAAAATTTAAAGTTCTCTAAAGATATTTTTTAAATTAAGCTGTATCTCTCAATTTTTAAAAATTAAACAGATAATTAAGAATTTTTAGCTCTACAGGAATTAAATCTCCTTATATCAACTTTCAAAAAAACTAATGATCTTTTAATGTCTTCTTAGGTTTTCTTTAGCTAAAAGTAAAAGATTAGAAGAATCTGGATGTGATGAAAGAACAGTTGCTACGCTGGGTCCTATTAGGTGCAGAAGTCATCAAAGTCACCAAAAGTGCTAGTAAAGCCCGAAGCCAGATGAAAGAGCTGCCTTCATCAACCTAAAGGTGCAGATGACACAGTTAGTTCACAAAACCACACTTCCCCAGCAGGTTAAAGGAAGTACAGGTGTTCAGTGAGCAACACAAGGTTTTCATGTCATTGTCTTTTAGTTGCTCTCCCAAAGAGGAGAGTCACCAATGTGTTCTTCACTGTTACCTCTTCCCACCACCCATTCCATTCCTCTTGCACCATTTTAGACCATGTTCTTCCCTCTGAGACCCTGAGTCAGAACCCTAATGGGGTTTGCCTTGAGAGTAAGCAATATGAAGATTTAACTGGAGCCCCAGATGTCACATGGTGACTGCTACCCTCCTCTATTTTCTAGGTTGCTTTCTTTGGTAGTGTCATTTGCTTTCTGTGAGTCTGCTCTTCATTTTCCATCAGTACCCATCCACACTAATATTTTCAGTGCATATTGAATACCTTGATACTTCACTTCTTTTTGCTTTAAAGCCAATTTTTCTCAAAGTGTGCATCTCAAACCACTGTGAGAGAACCAGCTGAGTGTAAAATGCAGATTTCTCAGTGCCCCCCACCCCGCCTGCTCCCTGGCCCAGGCCTCCTAAATCACTCAGGAAAGGACCAGGATTCTGTACGGTTTTCCTACAAATTCTCGGATGATTTCACACACACTGAGAACCATTGCTTTTCTCATTCTCAGAATGAACTGAAGGCAATGCAAACATATCTGTTTCTTCCCTATTATATTATATGCTTGCCCACACCTCACACGACATCACTGGGTCTCAACATGTGGTCCAGGGGTCCCTGGAAATTCATAGACCAAGGAGGTCTGTGTGGTCAAACCTATTTTCATGATAATACTAAGGCACCATTTATTTACTTATTTTTTTACTACCATTCTCTCATGAGTGTAGAGTGGTGTTTTCCAGAGGCTATATGGCATGTCCATAATAATGTGAAAAGCCTAACTACATATCTGAATGAGGGTGGATTTTCTTCATATACTTCAACCAAAACAACATTCTGCCACAAATTGAATGCAAAAGTAGATATAATTCAGCTGTCTTCTATTAAGTCAAATGTCAAAAAGACTTGCAAAAATATAAAACTATGCCATTCTCCACTATTTTTTTTGAAAATAGTGTTTTTTAAAAATATGTGTTAGAATAGAACGGGTTACCCCTGTTATTTTAAAATGCATTAATAAATATGTTTAAAGTTTCTGGGTTTTAGTTTCTACTATGGAAATATCAACAATCCACAAAAATAAAAGCACTTTGGAATCCTCAATAATTTTTAAGAGTACAAAGGAGCCCTGAGGCCAAAACTTTTGAGACCTTCTTCCCCATATTATGAATAAAACCAGAAAATAAAAACCACCAATTATAAAATAGATAAGAATGAGATAGATACTTCAATCTATTCAAATGAAGCATGTGAATATTTGCATTAAATTTAATAAATATTTACTAAACAACTACTATGTATAAGATACAATGTTAATTACTTCCTTAAAAAAAGATACTGGACGTCAACTAATCCAGAAAGGTGAAAGATAATCCTGTTGTTGCAAACTGTTTCTTGCCCTAGTTGAGTGCACTAATCTTTAGTTTTTTAGAAACTACATATTTGTTCCCTTAAAAATATAAAGATTTTGTCTCGGTTTAAATCCCTAAAATAAGCATTCCTGAAAGCAGATATAAACTGTGAATTGCTGTAATACTCTTGTCAGATTCTATGTGACTGACTTATTTACCTGTAATTATATACTGACATCTTAACCTTTCAACTTAATAAACAGAATACATACAGTTTTAGATTATTTTAATCCTGGTTTCTAATTAATTATTAGAAATAATGATTCTACTTAAGGCGCATACTGAGATTTTGAGATAGTCACACCAGGTAAAATAGTGTTGTATCACCCGAGGCAAATTGACATATACAAATTAAAGCAACATACCAAAAGTAGATTTTCTATCTGCTATCCATCGCAAGGCCCAATCTGCTTTTTTCTTAACGTATGGCATTGTTTCAATTGCATTAAATAAAAAGTCCCTGTAAAATCAAAAGAATTAATGGCAAAGTTATTCAATTGTTTTTCTTAATCAGAATAAATTTTCATAGGTTAATCAGAGATAATAATTATAACGCAATGGTATATACCAGATCTGTAACTTTTCTGTATTTTGCATGTTCATAAAATATAGAAAGTAAAACTTAAATTAATGGTTTGGATATGGTTTGGATATGATACAAAATTTACTAAATTCACATATTCAATTTCTAAACAGAATGTGCCCCACAGATTAACATTCTATGCAAGCTCCTTTTTAAATTCAATTTTAAGCAATAGAAAACATTATATTCCTAAACTTCCATATTTGAATAATATTTCCCAAGCATTACTTCTGAAGTAAATTTTGCTCTTAAAATAAGCAATAGGATAAACCTTTGTAAATAAAATCCCAGTGGTGATACCTTTTCTTGGGATCTCTGATGTAAGTGTGTATTAGCAAACTGTACATCTCTGAGTGAACATTCTCGATGAGAATTTGAAAGCCATAGAAACAGCGAGCCTCTGGAACCTGTACCTCCTGACTAAATCGCTCCACCTACAAAAATAAGGCGAAAAATATATCCAATTCTGTGTGCTCTCATTAAACACTGCAAATCAGAATCTGGACATCAGAATTATCACTTAAAAAGTGACTGTCATGCCACAAACAGGTCAGAAAGATCTTATGGGTTATTTTAAGCAGTACTGTTTATCAACCCTTCACGATAAATTATTTGCATAATGTATTCTTAAGTAATAAAATGAATTGACTTGGTAGGTGGAGATATTGCCTATAAAGCCAAATAAATTGTATAACATCCACCAAAAAAAATTATTTCACTGTAGAATTGACCTTAAGTCATTTTTTTTTTTTCTGACAGTAGATTTCTTGAAGCTCCTAGTTCTAGACGAAAGCTCACATCTTTTGATTCTCTTTAACAAGAAAGCATGCCTCCTGGCCAACCATAATACAAGTTTAAAAATGAGGAGCCAGAATCCAGCATTCTCTTACAGAGCTCCAGAAGGGTTATTAAGGTGCAAGATCTCTATTAGGATTCATATTCTAAGGGTAAAAATTAAACTCATGTTTATGGATTTTAAGTAGTTTTGATTGGTACAATATGCTTGATTTAATGATCTTTTGCTAGTCAAATAACAGAAATGTATCCTTTCCTCGGACACTTCATCAGAAAAAACATAGTCAAGAGAAAAGTTTCATCTAGTTCATTTCCTAGATATCATTTTTTAGGCTCAGTCTAATTATCTTATTGCTATTACCATCAGTTAACTGCTGAATGGGGACAAAAGTAAAATAAAACAAAAATCTTACCAAATTTTCATTCACAATTCCATCACTGGCTGCAAAAAAGGCTAAGATGTGAGAGATAAAATACTTCTCATCTGATTTAAGCTTGTTCCAGTGAGGGAGATCCTTTGATAAGTCAACCTGAAATGAAAAGATTTTCAAAACTTTTAACTTGAAGTTAAATTCTTCTCAAAATGTCTGGAAAACTGACTTTCATATCAAAGTTAAAGAGGTGACATCTCCTTAGCAGTAAAATGTGAAAAAGGAAAAAATGTTGACTTACTACTATAGACTGAATGTTTGTGTCCTCCCAAAATTCATATGTTGAAACCTAATTCCCAATGTGACCGTGTTTGGAGGTGGAGCCTTTGGGAAGTGATTAGGTCATGAGAGTGGAGTCCTTGTTAATGTGATTAGTGCCCTTATGAAAAAGACCTGAGAGCTCTGCTAGCTTTCTGCCATGTGAGGACACAAAAAGAAGACAGCTGTCTATAAACCAGGAAGAGGGCCCTCGCCAGGCAGCATATCTGCCAGTGCCTTGATCTTAGAATTCTCGGCCTCCAGAACTATAAGAAAAAATTTCTGTTGGTGATAAGCCATCTAGACTAGGTATCATTATAGCAGCCTGAACTAAGATGATTGCAGAGAACATAATAATAAAAAAAATTTAAAAAACATTATAAAGGAATCTATCTTCTGGCTAATTGAGAAGCTGGCAGAATGTACTTTCAAAATATTAAAATTAACATAATCTAGTTTCACCACAAGAAAAAAATGGTAATTATATGTCAGGATACAGGTATTAGCTAACACTATGGTGGCAATCATTTTTTGTGAAATATGTACATATATATATACACACACAACGTATGTATATATGTGTATATATGTATCAAATCACTGTTGTACACCTTAAACTTACACAATGTTCTATGTCAATTATATCAATAAAGCAGGGGGAAAAACATAATCTAGTGGCACTGGAACAAATGAAGGAAGGGGCAAAAGGCTGGAGAGAGACTAGAAACTGGTCAAGAAAGAGCTGAGATGAATAAACTAATGACTTTCAGTGGCCACTGCCTTAACATTTTATATAACACATAACAAATTATATAATAACACTATAGAGTTAAGACAGATAATTAGGCACATGTTAAGCAGTTATAGCTGCTATTTTACTGCAGGCTAATCTACCCAGAAGTAATTACCCAGAAGTAATGTCACGTAGGTAACAACCTAGTTTTTAAAGCAATTTATAGGTATTATTTCCTCTGAGAATATAAATATTTTTGAAAATGTTTATTAGAACTAGTCCTTGGAATTAATAGAGAGGTATATTCTAGATTTGGAAAAATCTACAATTCAAAAATAATGTGTACTTTGTAGATACCATTTCATCTCAGGAAGATCTCCTAAGTATATTTCACAGAAACCTCATAAACGTTTGAAACACGTCATTGTCCTTTGTCCTTTCAGTTATTCTACAAAGTCCTAATCTCTTCGACCATTCCATAAAGGACTGTTTCATCTTTTTAATCATTTGTGTTCTTTTCTAAAATTCTTTTTCCCATTACTTTATTCTTTAAATGTTTACTGAGCACCTACTACATGTCACAGTATGCTAAATGTTGGGGATACAATGGGCCAGGAAGGGGGACGTATTTGCACACATTTTTTAAAATAGGCAAGTGATAAATCAGGTCCTATTTTATTTTGAGCTCAACTCAGGTTTAGCTAAAGGACATCATTTTGGTTTTTATGTATTATACTCCTGATAATAAATTTTAACTTTATAATATTCTCAATCTTAAATATTAAACTTATCTCCTCAAACACTCAGCTTCAAAAAGGGCTTATAAATTTTATTTATACTACATTGGTCATTTTCCATTCCCAAAATGTAAACCTTTCTGTCCAGCTTTATCTTATTTGAGTAAATTCTCAAATTCACCATCTAAATATCGATTCCAAACTACTGGTTATTGGAATTTCTGGGTAGCTTTAAAAAAAAAAAAAAAAAAACCCAAACCTTTGTCTTCTGAATCAAGGTCTCTGATAATCAGTGATCTTTAGAAGTAAAGCTAAACCACTGATAAAACAATGATGGCTAAATTCGATTAAATTATAACTTACATAATTTTTTTAAATGAAAAATATGTGGAACTAAATGTGTTTGACTTCCTTTCAAAATATTTATTCGAATCTTCCTATAAGCTGCCTACAAAATATACATCAACCTACATATTTTAACTTTCAAAAATGAGTTTCTTAGTCATAATATATATTACATTTGCTAAAAGATGCATATAATTTTCAAATGAATTTCAAGAAACCCAAGTACCTTTTTAACATGATGAATGAAAATGCCACCTGTATATTCCATTTGTTCTTTTAACTATATCTAAAACATTTTTTTTCTAAAAACCACAGACATTTAGGGACAGTCAGGTGTGCCAAGCATTGTGACCCAATTCGAAAATGCTGGGGTTTTGCTTTGTTTTGTTTTGTTCTATATGTTAAATATAATAAAGATGTTAATGATATATAAAAATACAATAAAACAAAGTTGGGTAAGTGGGTAAAATTAGTAATAGAAGCTTAAAAATTGGTGCTTTAAATTTCTAATGCAAATGTCCCCCATTCTTTGTAAAATAATAGCTCATGGATAGGAAGTGTTAACATGTTAACATTTTTGTTAAAAATGTTTATACTACTCAAAGCCAGCTTGGATTTAATGCAATCCCTATCAAAATACTAATGGCATTTTTCACAGAACTAGGAAGAATAATCCTAAAATTTATATGGACCCTCAAAAGACCCCAAATAGCCAAAGCAATCTTGAGAAAGAAGAATAAAGTTGGAGGGATCATAGTACCTGATATCAAACTATACTACAAGCCTAATGTAATCAAAACAGCATGGTACTGGCACAAAAATAGACACATAGATTAATGGAACAGAATAGAGAGCCCAGAAATAAACCCACACCTAGATGGCCAATTAATATATGACAAAGGAGGCAAGAATATACAATGGAGTAAACAAAGTCTATTCAGCAAATTGTGTTAGGAAAAAAAAGAAAAGAAAAGAAGCCAGACCACTTTCTTATACCATATGAAAGAATAAACTCAAAATAGATTAAAGACTTAAATGTTAAGACCCGAAACCATAAAACTCCTAGAAGCAGCAGTAAACTCTTGACACTGTTCTTAGTAACATTTTTTTCTGATACATCTTCCCAGTCAAGGGAAACAAAAGAAAAAATAAACAAATGGGACCACATCGAACTAAAGTTTTTGCATGGCAAAGAAAACCACCAACAAAATGAAAAGACAACCTACAGATTGGGAGAAGATATTTGCCAATGATTCATCCAATAAGAGGTTAATATCCAAAATTTATAAAGAACTCATACAACTCAACACCAACAAACAAACAAACAAACAAACCAATTAATAAACGAGCAGGGGACCTGAATAGACACTTCCCGAAGAGGACATGCAGATGATCAACAGACATATGAAAAGATGTTTACCATCACTAATCATCAGAGAAATGTAAATTAAATCCACAATGAGCTATCACTTCACACCTGTCAAAATGACTATCATCAATAAATTGACAACCAGTGTTTGCAAGGATGTGCATGCATTGTTAGCAGGATTGCAAATTGGTGCAGCCACTACGGAAAACAGTATGGAGGATCCTCAAAAAATTAAAAATACATTATGACCCGGCAACTCCACTTTATCGAAAGAAATCCAAAACACTAATTCAAAAGGATATATGCATCCCTATGTTCATTGTCGTATTTACAATATTTACAAAATTCATAGTAGCCAAGATATGAAAGCAACCTAAGTGCCCATCAATAGATGATTGGATAAAGAAGATATGGTACATACATACAATAGAATATTACACTGCCATAAAAAAAGAATGAAATCTTACCATTTGCAATAACATGAATGGAACTAAAGGGTATTATGCTAAGTGAAATGTCAGACAGGGAAAGACAAATACCATATGATTTCAAAATAAACATACAAACAAAACAGAAACAGACTCATACATAGAACAAACTGATGGTCACCAGATGGGAGGGGAGTTAGGAGACCAGGTGAAAAAGGTGAAGGAATTAAGTACAAATTTGTAGTTACAAAATAGTCACAGAGATGTCAAGTACACCATAGGGAACATAGTTAATAACATTGTAATAAGTGTGAATAGTGCCAGGTGGGTACCGGACTTATAAGGGGGATCACTCTGTAAATCATATGTCTAACCACTATGCTGTATACCTGGAACTAATATAAAATAATATTTAATGTCAACTGTAATTGAAAAATAAAAAATAATAATAATAAAAATAATAAAAAGAATAATAATAAAAATAATAATAAAATAATAATTTTTAAAAAGTACAGCTTCCACGGGTTTACATTGAGTTGTAGTCATTTCTGTGCCTAATTTAGATACATTCCACATTTTTTACTCATTTTCACCACCTCCTAGTCATTTTAGTTTCTCAAGAGCCAAAGTAGAGTTAAAGCTAAAAGTACATAAATATATACAGATGTAGATATATAATTATTTTCCTTACAAATTTACTTGTCTTTTAAGAACTGTTAGCATATTTTCTGTTCAAATTAACCTGTTAGTCTGTGATTTTTAGAGTATTCAAAATTGCAGGAGCCTACATTTTATAATTCAGCTTCTACAATGATACAAACATTTTCAAGTTTTCTTTTTTTTAACTTTAAAATATTATTGTTTGTGGTGTTCATATTTTATTTAATGCGCTGTTCATATATCCTTCCTAAAATGTAAGGCATATTAGAGCAAGACGTTTGCAGGTTTTCTATTCTATCTTTAGTACCTGAAATAGTGCCTAGCCACCAAAATGCTCTTGAAAGCTAGAACTGGAAAAGGTAATAAGCGCAATTACTCTATCCAAAATTTAAAAAAGAAATTTTTTTAAAGATGAAGACAATGGATATTTGTATGTTCTGTTAAGACTACAGAGCAACCAACTGCTGACCAATTGTCCTTCCCAAACCAGCAAATATCTTCTAATTTGTTCAACTCATTTCCTAGGTGGAAAATGCCACACTAAAAGAAAGCTTTCTACAGCTGTCCTGTCTGCTGGGGCAGCTATGCCAGGTTTGATGTGGCTGAGGGCAGAGCCAAAGCGGGAGGAGCACTGTGAAATCCAACTGGCAGCTCAGAAGTGAGCGCAATGCCTGGACAGTCAAACTCTTCGAGTGACAGCTCTTTCTGTATAATCAGATAAGTTTCACAATTGCAAGCAGGGCCCTAAGGCTTTCACTTTCATTTTTTTTTTTTTGCTATAGCTGTAATTCTACTGCTGACCAAAAGTAAAGACTAGTTTCATTTGGCCATAGCAAGCCAAAAGTCTGTTTAAAAATAGAAAATGTCCTAAAATATATTGGAAGTAAAAATCTGGCAGACTGAGATGTCATTTTTGCAGCAGGAAACATGTTTATAGACAGTAATCTAAACTCCAAACACTGGCAAACTGTATTTAATCCCAGTAATTTCAAATATCTTGTAGAACTGATCTTATCCAATGTATCTTACAATATATGTTAAAATGTTTCAATATCCTGTAACAGAAGATGTAAACACTGCACTATGGAACATGATTACTAATAAAAGTGATGCCACTTACCTCTTCTGCTGTCCAGAAGGATGCCTGTGCCTGTTTATACATTTTCCAAATATCGGGGTACTGGATTGGAAAGATGACAAATCGGCGAGAACTCTTTCTTAGGAGTGGCTCTTCATTTTCGTTGGTATCTGAAGATAATCTCTTTGAAAAATAAAGTACAAACACCCATTTGTGGAGACTTTTCCTTTTTATTCATATCTAAATATACATCCGGGGGAGTTAGAGAAATGACATAGGTTTGAGAGCCCATCTGCTTGCACTGAATCCTTACTGCTATGTGGTAGCTGGTTAATAGTGTTTGGTTAGTTATGTGATCACAGCAAGTTGTTTAACTTCTCTGAGCCTCAGTTTCCTCATTAGGAAAATAATACTTACCTCATAGGTAATTATCAAATTAATTTTAATGATTAAAAGTGTTTTAAACAGAGCCTTGTGAATAATAAGCATTGAACAAAATTGTCATTAATGCTACTTTGAGGATAAGTACAAAACTAGGCCCATAAATGTCACCATGGGCAAATTTCTAAGTTTGTGAACAAAAAGTCTCTTCAGTTCCTCTCTCAGAGATAGAATGCTGGCACAAATAAGCTACTGTTAAAAGCTATTTTTTTTATTTTAATGTTTTCTAATCTCAATTGAATTATAATACTTAGCTAAAAACTCCTTACCAACAACCTATCAGATTTATTCGTCTGAAGCTTACCACATAGCACTTTGTTTATTGCTATTAAATGTTAACATTACTGCATGTAGTCTCACTGTGGCCTGTCTCAAAGCTTTGTGAAATAAAGTGAGAAACACAGACCTGCTTACATAGTACTTGGAAATATGATGGCACTCTAATGGGGGACGGCGCCATGTGTTTTCTTAATAGTCAGGAAGAGTATCAGAAGAGTTGTGTGTGTGTGTGTGTGTGTGTGAGAATGAGTATATATAAACTATATACAAATAGGTTAAAATATATAAAGCAAGATGATTGGGATACGTTTCAATTCTGGACTCCTAACCCAAACTGTCTTTCTCTCTCCTGAGCCAGGCCCTGCCAGGCCCATCCCTTATATTCCTGCATCCTTACCATTGCCTCCACCAATCCTCATACCTCTGAATCAAGTGTGCTAACGCGGATGAGGCTAAGGCAAGATGAAAGGCCCTCGATCAAAGCACAGGACTACACAAATACAGGTGGGTGTGTACACTTCACACACATTGTCATTGTAGCAAAGACTGTCTTTATTTTGTAACTACTTATTTTAAAGGTGTGAGCCTCCCCAATAGAGCTCTTGGACCCTGGAGTATAGAAACCGGTTTTTATTTATTGCAATGTTCCCAGAGTACTCTGTCAAACATAGCATCAATAAGCATTAACTAAGTGAATGCGCAGCTAATTTCTCTTTATCCTGTGCTCAGATTACTGGATACATTTGGGATTTTTAAATTAAACATAAGACTATAATACATCACTGAAATAACCTAATGACCACTCAAATTAAGCCTTCTCTGAATGCCTCCACTTTTCCCTCCACCCCCATTACCCCAAAAGCCTGGATTAGGTCCCTAACATAGTACATCACTCACTGCAACTTAATTCCCTGATATTTGTCTGTAGTCTCTAGACTACCTTCTTGAGAGTAAAAATCAACTTTACTCTTATGGAATCCCTACGACCTAGCATAGTACCTGGCACTTAGTCATTACTCATTCCAAAAATATTAAAGCGAGTTTTTAAAATGAAAGTTGTTATTGTTTTCTTGTGTTGTCATTGAGGGCTTGCAGTCTTAAAAGAACCATAAGACACTGAGACACTGAAGTTAGGCGCTAGAACAGGAGGCATACATGGGAGCAGGTCCTCTGGGTCTGGCACGGAACAGGCTTTTAAGCGATCACCACGAAGATGCTTTATATACATTATTCCACATAATCAGTAGAACAACTCCAAGAAATAATAACACTATTTCTGTTTTACAGATGGGGAAAGTAGGTCTTGAAGGATGTAAATAACATACCCAAGATTCCACAGTAAGTGGTAGAAATAAGATTAGAACTGAAATACGTCTGCACTCACAGCCCTGCCTTAAGTATGTCTCTGTATTTATGGATAGCAGCTATAGTAGGGCTAGCCTATATCTAAAATCCAGAATTCAAAACAGTGAAATGAACTAAGGCTAAAGAGAGTATATATTACTATCTCCTGCTAAGTCAAGTTAATTTAACAAATGGTAGTGATGTAACCAGTGACTAAGAGAGGCGCCACCAAATTTGATTCTAGGGAAAAGTAGGAAAAATAATTTCTTTGTAAATAAAGTTGAAAGAACCAACATATGACTTGAAAGCTGGTGAAAAACAGCCAAACTGATAAGGTTTAAAGCAGTGATTTTTAACTGGCACAAGTTTCAAAATCTACAGGGTAATACTTTCTCAAAATGTATTAGTCTTCTCTTTTACCAGGTTAAAATCACTATATGTAATGATATCATGAAGTATGTTGTTGATGAGCATATGTTTCACAGGTAGAATGATGAGACAATAAAAAAGATTGAAAATCAACATTTTGAAATTGCCATCTCTACAGCAGAACTTGAGGTGAACCAAATGGCTATATTTTATTCCAAACTGTTCATTACAGTACGAAATTATGTCTGTTTACAATAAGTATACAGTATGTTCATGTTTTCAGGTAATTTAATCTAAGCATCATCATCTGTAAATTAAAGATACTATTTGTCATACTTATTTCAAGGAATGTTAGAAAGATCAGAGGAGCTAATATAAATATAAATACTTTGCACACTCAAGTGCTGTGCACTTTTTAAGTTATTATGTTATTATTGACTGCTGAAATGTTTCTGGTTGGCCTTTTAAAGATTTTCCTTATATTCAAAGAACTAATAAAAAAAACTATTATAGTGGTTAATTATTTGACCAATCAATACCTTCTATGACTGCTCTCAGAGAATTTTTATTCATGAAATAATTAGGGAACTCCTGGAAAGGCTTAAAAAGTGAAATATTTCAATTTAAAGCCCAACTGAAAAGGTGAGTTTTGCAGACAATAGATATCATATTGTTCTTCAGTTCTTCTAGATTGTGCATCATCATATGTAGCATTTTGATACGATTCTGCATTTTTCTTTTTTTTTTTAACTATACTTTGTCACCAGTGTACAGGTACATATTCAGAGCTTGAATTTGCTATCTTCGCTATATTTGCCATGTGGGGCATACTGAAATTTGGGCAGGACATCATAAGCAGTTAACTCTTGGCACTAAGAACCCTGGCCCTGAATGGAGTTTTTATATGCTGACAAATAATAGATCAACATCAGATCTGTGAAAACTGCTCAAGACTTATGCCTTTAAATTAGAATGACAATCACATTTGGACATATATTCTTCCTGTTCCATCCTGACAATATAGAAGCTGGATTAGTAGGATAGTATGAAAGACTTTGCAATGTGAAAAGAAGAGGCTTCACCAACATAAACCTTTGAACTGAGCTGATATGACATATTGCTTACTTTCATGATGCTTAGAAAAATCCACACATATTTTAACGCAATGTCAGAAAGGTTTTCAATCTCAAAGCACTAGACTCTCCAGGGTATCCTCTGTGGACCTGGGCTAGGGACCCATATTTTAGGAGAGAAAACAATGTAAAAAAAGGCATAATAGCATGTGACATTTTTAAAGAACTGGAGAAACTTTCTAAGTCTGGAGTTCATGGTACATGGGGGACAATGGAAAGAGATGAACTCAGAAAGAAGGCAGAGAACACCTCTCAATGATTTTTCCAAATATGTCTGAAGAACTCTGTGGTCCCTCTAATGTCACAAATATTAGGTTAAAACTTCAGTTTTTAATGTTTTTAACCTTTTAAAATAGTAATAAAAATAACAAATGTTTTATACTATACAGAAAGGAAACCACCAATGCATGAACTTGTGTGTTACCAGGTTGTTTTCTTTTTTTAGATGGCCTCAGATGAAAGTTTCTCTAGCGATCTCTGCTTAACTTACGAATACCATGAGACTTAAAGACAGGCAGTTAAAAAAAACTGTAATCATTTGTACCTATTTTTCAAAAGTAAACCAAGATTAAAAAAAAAAAACCAAAAAGGAAAAGATAATAATACTAATAGTAACAATAATACTGTAGAAGCACTCTTAATTGAAGTGATCCAAACTGGTAGTTGAAAACTGACTAAAGTAAGAAATCATAAGAAAATTATAAACTAATAGATTTAACTTAAAACATATAATTTACATCTATTTACTAATCTTCTGCCATAAAGCCATAGCATTTTGTTATTGTTAATTTTGCTCATTTACTGGAGTCCCAAATCTCTGTAATATAAACACACTATAATGCATCACCTACGCTTTCTAGTTTTAACAGACTTAACACAGAACAATCTGAATGTAGAATCCTTATCTCTTTTATGATTGTCTCCAATCTTTTTCTTTGCTTACACCTAATTCTACAAAATTTGTTTTTAAAGACTCATCTTAATTGAGTTTTCAAAGCTTTCAATTAAGTTTCATTGAAATAACTTTCTTTTCATACTCATGTATTACTAGTTTACATAATAATTAATTAAGTTAAAATAATTACAGGTATAGTTGATATAAATAGGACTGGAAATAAAGACAACTGATCCTGGTACGGTATAACTCAACCAGTGGGAACAGAATTATGTGAGTGCATCAGAGAGCAGCCTAAATGCATTCTACAGCCTATGGGTTGATAAAGCCACAGAATTGGCTAGTTGTAAATTCATTAAGAGATCCTCTGAAAAATATGAAAGAAATTGCTAAGTTTGATATAAATCTTCATCTATCATCTACACTCCAACTCAAAACAACGGGTTCATTAAAATAGCCTCATTATTCCATTAATTTATTTTATAAATAATGCAATATACCCTTTAAAAACTTATACTAATAAAATAGACAAAAGTGGATTTTATCAGAGTCGCGTTTATGATTTTGTCTGGAAAACAGGCCCAGATGTTGAAGCCATGGGAGTCCCTTGAATTAAAATATTTATGAATTTTTCCACAGCTAATTTCCTATAGCCATTTTGATACAGCTGTTTTGACACTTTCTCTTTTACCTGTGTCATAATTTTGATAAAATGAAACAAAACAAATTTAAAAAGTTAACTTTCAGATTTTAAAATCTGCATTCCATCTCTAAGCCTTATCTGAGGTTAAGGTGCCTATTTTGCGTATTAAATGGATATTAATACATTGATTTTTTAAAACGTTCGGAGCATCTCGCCTCTATCATGTAGACTATTAGAAGCCATTGAAAGTTTTTAAACAGGTAAAAAACATAATCAGATCTGTGTTTTAAGATCACTTTTGTAGAAATGTGGTTAGATTAGGAGAGAAATTGGAGGTGCAGAGAGCAATTATTGCCCTACCCATTTCTTGCCTGACATGGGATGTCAGCAGTAGAAACACAAAATAAAACTTTTTTAAGATGCACAGAAAGTGCTCGGCACCTGAGAATAACTGAATAAATCAGACAAAAACTCTTGCTTCTCTCATTAGATGTTTAACAAAAGCTTAATATGAATGAACTCTCCCCACCACTGCAAGCCACAATAACAATAAAAAGTTCCAAACACAAAAGTCTTTAAAAAGTCAATTTGGTCAGTAAAAAAGATAATGGGTTCAATTTCAAGATATCCAGTAGATAGCTGAAAATATCACACTATGGCAGAAGAATGATCTCTACTCCCTCCCTAATGGAATAAAGATCCCATTAGCAGTCACCAAAGGGATGGATGTGATTTTCCAGGGAAAACATATAGATCAGCAGCGCAGCTAAGGAAAAAGCCTTGACAAAGGGCAGATGGAAGAAGAAGAACCAGCTGGGATTAAAAATGACTGAAATGAGTGTCAAGTAAAGGCAGAAGTGATCTGATTTGGCTAAACCAAAGAGTCCACAGATGAGACAGGGGAGAATCCCTTAATTGAACCACACTCTGAATGTCAATCAGGCTAAGAGGTTAAAATTTTCAAACATCTGGGGGGCTTGGAGGCTTGGAGGCTCACACTCTAATTCTCCCCACTGCTCCCCAACCCCTGGGTGCTGGCATTCACTGTGGGGTACAGTTTGAAAGTCATTCCTATGGATAGTCATGGAGAGTTTCTTAACAGGAATTGACATGGCATTAGGAAGATTAATCAGACGTCTGTGTGCAGGATGAATTAGGAAAGAAAAAAAACCTAGATTTTGGTAGCAACTACGTGTCAATTTCAGAGGTGGAAATGACAACCTGAATTAAGATGTGGTGGTTAGCATGAAAAAGATGTTTAAATGGGTCTTTGCCAGTCTGAGGAACTAGGCAATTTTAGGTGGGAACAGAGAGACTCTTTGGGGAGTTCTTATTTCAAAGGAGTAATAACATGGAGGCTTGTTTAATGGTGGATTAATTTGTCAGTGGTAAACAGGATTGGACAGCAGGTAAAATTGGAAGTAGAGAAACTTAATTTGGTGTAGCTACAGAGGTGCGAAGTAACGAAAATCTGAAACAAAGTTTCCCATACGCAACATTCCACTGTCTCTTCCAGTATGGTGCCTCTAGTTTCTGCCTGCCTCAGTGTCTGGTCGCCTGGGCCCAAGAGGTGCCTGGACATGCTAGGGCAGCCATCTAAGTCAAGATTCCCCAACTAGCATTCACCATGCCCTGATGTTTTGCTGGCCTTCTACAAGGTTTCTCCCTTCTATGCTAGTATAAAATACCTAAAAGAACTCTATCTCATCTAAAACCGGGACTTCATTTTTAACGTAGTCTGACCCCTTCTCTCCTTGCTGACGTTCCAGTTAAGGTATAACTCAGCGCCCACAGCCTCTGAGGAAGAAATCGATAATATCTGAAGTCTGCATTTTAGGACTGGTCATTTAAACTACAAAGGCTAACCGACATGTTTGCGTAAGCCTTTGTTTTGCAGGACTTATGCAGGGCCTTTTAATAATGGAAAAAACATCTTCTGGCCACCTTGAAACCTTTGACTACGTGTCAGACATCACAGGACCAAGAATCACATCTTTATATTTGAACTCCTTCCCACTTTTTGATGGCTTATATAACCTCATCAGAAAAAGCCTTCGGGGAGCATTTCTTTTTCCATTACGCTCCCTTGTGCGCAAGTCTCCGTCTCTGTCTCTTTCTCTCTCTCCTTCACTCCCACCCTCACCACATGCACAAATTTATTCTGAGTTCAGTGTTCATTTCTGTAACACTGAGACTCAAGAACCTGGTTTTTCAAGTTTGGTAACGTTTCCATCCACCCCCCAATTCTACCATTTCCATTTGCCTTTACCTATCTTCCAGTCCTCAGGTGAAGAACATTTGGATGCTGTCACAGTCATATACTCTTTGTAGGTATGGTATAATTTTTCATTTTTCTATTCCTACCAAATCTGGCAAAACAGATGGAATACTGGCCCACGACCAAGAACTTGATTTTAAACCTCACTTTGTCTACAGCCATGCTACCCTGAACAAGCCCGATCCCGTCTGATCTTGGAAGCTAAGCAGGGTCAGGCTTGGTTAGTACTTGGATGGGAGACCACCTAGGAAGACCAGGTGCTGTAGGTGTAAAGAATAAAAAAATAAGGGATTGTAAAATGACAAGGTCCTTGCAATCTGTGAGGCCTAAAAAATTAAATAAACAAACAAACAAACCTCACTCTGCTCCCGAGTTATGTGGTCCTGGGCATGTCATTTAATCTTTTCAGGCCTGAACTTTCTTACCTTTAAAATAGGGACTATCAATTAGATTAATCACAGTTAACTTTGAGAAAATAATCAACACTATGGGCTCTTTCTCAGGAGATTCACATTTACACATACAAAATCTACAAACTTCAAGAGACTCATCAACCCCCTTCAAGCCTATCTATAAACCCTTTAAGGCAATGTTCTTAAAATATGTGTACAGGATGACTATGAAGTGCTTGTTGAAAATTCAGTCCCCATCCCAAAACATTTTGACTATGTATGGAGGACAGGCCCAGTAATTTACATTTTTTTACAAAGTACTCCTGGTGATTCTGATGCAGGTGGCCTATGATGCATGACATATTTAGAGACACAAGGTAATTAAGGCATCCTTGCACATCAGGTTAAAAACTTAGAACAGATCCTTACTAAAATTCATTCTGGATCTAAACTTCTGCCTCTGTCTTTGTGGGTCTCTATCACTGAGACAGAGATAATAAATAAAAATTAACTTCCAGTCCTTAAGTCTGAATGACTGCTGGTACCATTAGCACAAAAGGATAAATCTGAGTTGTCCCATTCTAGTAGAGAAATTAGTACTAAATGTATTTGTTTCAAAGGGGAAGAACTTGAGGGATATTTACAATTTGTTGGTTACTAAATGTTTACAAAATCAAAATAAAATAAAATCCCAAATCTGGAATCCACAACTTTCTAAAGAAATGCAGGGCTAAGCGTAAGTCTCTGAGAGTTGAAACTCTTAAATCAGGTATCACACAGAGCAACCAGTTCGAGAGAAACACAATGGTTTAGAAGTATTTACAAAATAACAGGGTATGAAAATTATAGAACAACAATGTGAGCTACCCTACAACACTATAGTCTAATAAATCCCGGTTCATTTACTGTTATTATGTATTTTTATTAAAATAGAAGCAGAGAGGATAAACATGCTAACTTAGGTTTTATTAAGCACCCACAACTTCCGTAGTACTTTACATAAAGCATTTTACTTAATCTTCTGAGGGGAGTATCACTTCCATTGTATAAATGAAGAAAGTGACACCACAAAGATTCAAAACTAGTTAAGTAGCCTGGTCTGAGCAAAACTGGCCCCTTGAACTGATTATTTTCATTATTATGATGATTTCCTGTCTTCTTTCTGCCTATCATCGCCACCTCATCCCCCTGTGTCGAGTTCCACGGGCGTCCTCAAATTCCTTTAAATATCCCAGAGATGGCATGCATTTCTCCAGCAGATCCACCAATCCTCGTTCTTTGCCTCAGTTTCCCCGGCCTGAACTCCAGAACAGGAAAGAATGGGAGGAGAGTAAAAGAGGGGGTGCGCCTCGCTCCGGCCTGAAGCCTCAAGCTGGCCTCGGGGCAAAGCAGTGGAGCGTAATCCCGGCTCCCTCCTCATCCCTCCCCGGGGACAGCGCCTCAGCGCTTGCAAAGACGAAACCAGGCTGTGGCGAGGGCTCAAGGCCGGGCCTGCACCAGGTTTCTGACGGCAGTGGGTAAGATTTCCTATAGCGGTCCCGCACCTTGCAGGTCCCCGACGCAACCTACAATGCAGAGGTCAGGCATGACTGTGGGACCGGACAGAAAGCGGCAGCAACGTTTACCTCATCCTGCTCCGGCCAGGCCGCTTCCGGCCTTTCCAGGTCGCCCATCGCTCAGACTCCGCCAGAGCTACGAGAGCTGAGGGAACCGAGGGCCGCAGGCCAGATCCAACTAGAACAGGACTCAGGTGGCCCGCAGAGCTGCTGAGTCCGCCCCGCCCCCTGCTGCAGAGACCTCTCCCCCTCCGGCCGGCCCCGCCCCGCTTCCCTGCTCCGGCGCCGATTCCGCCTGCTGAGGGTCTCGCCCCGC